CTCTTTTAACACGTTCTTGCAATATTATATTCGATTTTAAAATCATGGAGTATAATATTAATTTGTCAATCTTCTACAGATTTATTATACTCGAAAAATCGCAAGCATTTTATATAATCAAAAACATCCAACAAACCGTTACAAGAGTTTACCATAAAACTGACAATTTGACTGAGACTCTGGTATTTCATATATTACTAATATAATTATAATCTTTGACGTGAATAAAATAATAAATACAATAAAACACATTGATTGTCCGTAATAATTTACAATTAATTTATTTTTTAATCGTTCCTCTTCCCCGGATTAAGATCCTTTTCGTGTAGCTTATCGCGTTATTGAGGCAAAGCTTTCAAAGTACTCGACAAGTATCCTAGGATTTTCGTCAGCAACGTTATCTTCTCTCCCTGGTCAGCCGATTAAATCTTAATCGTCGCGAGTCGGAATTAAGACGGAAAGCGGCACGATAGAAGTCACGTCGACTGCTCTATCTGCGTCGTAAAATTAAATGAGTGGATCTATTTAATTTCCCGAGGCGTCATTGTTTAAGCATGGAGTGTAGCCGTGCACATAACACGACAGAGACGTACGTACACACAGACACACACAATCTCACGCCAATTATATCACAGCGCACAGAATTGCGCGAGCGATTTTTCGAATATAAACTTGCGATTTTCTATTTGTTTAGAAAAAATGATAAAGAAAGAATAAACGCTCGTGAACGAATTGTTTATATGAATTTATATGAATCTAATTTTTTCTATTTTTAAGTTCAACGTAATATGTTTTTTGTCTCTTAATTTTTTTGCTGTATATGGACTCGATGATAAGAGGAGACATTGCTAAATATCTCGATTATTGATTTATTCATGAGCGTTTATTCTTTCGTACTAATCCGCGATTTTTATTATCCAACGATATTTGAGATTATGCAATTATTGTGCTAAGACACCACTATGGCGTCGTAAAAATGCATTCGCTACCGCATGAAATATTGCAGCATGCGGGGGTGGATGAGTTTTCCAAAGGAGGTCGAGCTGGCGGGGAAGGTGAAGGAAATCGAAAGACTGTCGGTGGGGGTATACGCGCGAGGGGTGGACGTTGAAATTGATGATCCCGCGGGAATATTCCCGGCGAAGCACTTATCATAAGTCACGTGTGCCACGCCGGCGATTTTTCGAAAGCCACCCTGAATTATCCGCGCTTTTCTATTTCGTTCATAATAGCGGCGTTCATTTCCATCGTTAAATATCTTTAACACATTTGGTTGGCTAAGAAAAACATATTGCTTTTTTATGTTCTTCTTACACCGATGATATGCATGTTGACATATATGGCGCCGTTTGCGCGTCTAGATGTCATAATTACAAAGTAATCATCTGGTCATTACGAGTTATGTTCACCTTGCCGATTTACATTTATGTAAGAGAGAGAGAGAGAGAGAGAGAGACAGAGAGAGAGAGAGAGAGAAAGAAAGAGAGAGGAAGGGAGATAATGTGTTATAGTTAAGCGAGGATCAATTCCTCTCCCTTTCTTCTTTACACATATAATTATTTCAAGACGATTTCCTTCTAGCATTTTAGTGTTATGAGATTGTTACGCTTAAATAAATTACTAAACATGATAATATTCTTTCTTATGATTTGCCATTTTAAGTATTAGTAAAGAATTTGCCTAATCAGCTGTACAACGCACTAGAACTAAATATCATAGTCACACGAGACGCGTCGGAAACCATTCGTTAATTTTTTTTTTTATTAATATATATATTTACGATTTTTTCATCCATTTAAATATTTGTCTAAAGCAAAATTGTGTCATGTTACTTCAATTTTAGAGCCAAAAAGAAATCTTGTCAGAAGTGGGATTCGAACCCACGCCCACAGAAGTGGACTGCGACCTGAACGCAGCGCCTTAGACCGCTCGGCCATCCTGACGTTATAGTATTATATTAACCAGGGCTGAGACATAAGGTTTGTTCTTTATAGCTGAAACTGGACCGAGAAATATAATGAGATAAATATATATATATTTTAAAGTTAGAGAAAAAAAGGAAAAAGAAAAAGTGCAAGGAGTTCAACTATAAAGAACAAATCTCTTGAATGCGAGTAGCAAAGTGGAAGTAAGAGTATTTTGATGGCAAATTATAAATGGAATCTTATCATTTATTAATTTAATTTAATTTATTTAAACAATCTCATACAACATTAAGACGCCAGAAGGTATAATTATTTTGAAATAACTATGTATGTGTGTGAAGAAGAAAAGAGAGAAAAGAAAATGGTCCTCATCCAATCATCTCATAACATATGTATAATATATCTAATTTTTTTCTATTCTACTTGAGACCTAAATTCTATTTGAGACCTAAAGCCAATGAATGGTAATTCTTTAGGAATAATTAATTCTAATTTTCAAATGCTTTTTACTTTACTATTCTCTCCACTTTTCATAAAATTAAAATCTTATGTAGAGCTTTTTCTATATTTTTAAATCTCGGTCTTAAATTTTCTATGTCTCTTAAATTTTTTCGATTACCGATTTTAATTCAAGTCGAATTGGGGAATATAATTGAAAAATGACGGAAAGAGAAATGATTTAACTGAATGAATAATTTATCGATTTTCAACGAGCCCTGTGCACCTGCTCTTACACGCCCGCTCGAGTTTTCATTCGATATATTTAAACTCACAATGGCAAGGAAAGAAGGAGAAGAGGCAGGAATGGTGAAACTATTTGTCAACAGCCGTGCATATGTACTTATAGTCGTCGTCGGTAAATTATATCCGCGGACGTAGAAATATTGACCGCCCGGTATTTCTCGGCGAGACTTTTTCCGGAAGTTTTCCTTGTGTTCGAGGTGTGCGCGACGCGATTGCGTATCTCTCATGCACATCACGTGACCGGTCAAATACTGACCGGTGACTATATACTTTGGTGCATCGTTATACGAAGTTATTATAACTGACTTGAAATATAATCGAGATTTAATCATGGATCGACGATGTGTATAAATAGATTTAAATAATTCGTTCGTCGAACGTAGGCGGAAATTGATGATTTGAGATCGAGAAAGACAGTTTGGCACGGGAAACCTATCTCTTTCTCTCTCTATCTTACATCGAGATGTCATTCTATCGCTTTATATAAGGTGATTTAAAGTTGAGCGAGTCGTATAAATTTATGTGAATATATTTGCACGATTGATATTTATGTTATCTAATATTGAATCGTTGCATATGAAAAATATCTGCGTGCATGCACCTACGCGAAAATTAACGTTCAAACGAGCTAAGAGTTAATTATCGCGGCCGTGGCAAATATTATCGTTATCTACCGTCAACCGCCACCCCAGCTCCTCCCCTTTGCCTCCCTTTTCTTCCATTTGTTCCTGATAAACGCGCGGACACGCAACAGGACTGCGCCATGCTGTTTATTACCGTATGATAACGAGGAATGATTAATTGAGAGGGAAAATGCGACGGGGACGGCGACTTATTTTTATTCGCTCTGAAAATTGAAATTCATTTGCTTAGCAAGTAATCGAAAACATCGACGAATATTCCGCGTATTTTTTACGTCCCACGACAGGGGGATGAGGAACGACGAATTCGGTGATGCCAAGGGTGCGCACGACGCCGGTTTTAATGAACTCTTTTGCTCGCCACTCGTGCAACCCTTAAACCGCCGTTTTAACCAGTGCCTCTCAAGTCGCACCACTCCGTTCTCTCTCTACCCGTTTTCACCGATCAATATCCGCAACCGATCGCGAGATAACATTTATTCTATATTTTGTACTATAGTTTATTGTATATTCCTGTATTAGTATAAAAATTTCGTATCTCATATTTGATATATTAGAATATTTTATAATTTGATTTATTTTAAGTTTAATTTTTTACTCGTTTGGTCCTTCTGCTACTGTTTTGAGCGTCACTGTCACCTGGACAGGTTAGCGATGTCGACAACGCAGAGGGGTGAGAAGCGGGAAGCGGGTGGTGACGAGGGCAGATCTGGTTCGCTTAGTGTGACGAGAATAGAGGCATGTTATTGATTATGGAAAAATACCCCCGGCTCAGAGCTACGCGAAGGGGGAGGGAGGGAGGGTGGTTTGCAAGTGTGGTCGACACCCCCTCGTCTTCTTTCAGCCGTGTCTTCCAGCTGGTGTTATGGCTACTGTACACCCCGCAACTCGTCTTCTTTCAGCCGTGTCTTCCAGCTGGTGTTATGGCTACTGTACACCTCGCAATCTCTCTCTCTTTCTTTCTTTCTCTTTCTCTCTCTCTCTCTTTCTCTCTCTCTCTCTGTCTCTTTCTCTCTCTCTCTCTCTCTCTCTCTCTCTCTCTTTCTCTTTCTCTTTCTGTCGTGTTTTTCATTTGCCTCTTTTCCTTTCCTCTCAATCCGTCCTCCACCCCATTTGCTGTCTATCATTTCTTCATCTGACGGTAAACGTCATAATAACGGCGCGTTCTTACCGGCACTCGTCCCTCTCTCGTTGATCAGCTGGTGCCGTGCAGTTGGCACACTGGGGTGTTTTCTTATGTTACAAAAGATAGTGCTTTCGATTAGGAAGAAATATTTGAGACTCTTATTCATCGGACAAATTCGGTATTAAATTATTCGATATTAAATATTGTTATATTATTAAATTTACAATCCACAAATCAATCGCATTTTTCTTAATCTGCGAATTTTTTGGAAGGATTTGTTGGAAAATAGTTCGTGATAGGACGAAAATGTGACGTATTATTTAAAAATAAAGCGAGCTTGGTAGAAACTTAGGAAGCGACCGCAAATACAGTTGAAAGACAAAGGAATTTGATAAAAAAATATAGTCATAAAAATAGGAAGAGGAAGACAGAGATTTTTTTTTGTAGTAAAAGAAAGACAAGCTTTTTTTCATTGTCATTAATTACTCCCGTTTGATAAATTTTAAGTCAATTGTCATCTTCGAAGATTTTAGACGCGCATTCAACTTTTATCACAATAGCGGCAGATGCAATAGATCTCCACTAATTTTTCGTGATAGTCTCTATTTCCGTTAAGCGATATAAGTAAAAAAATTGATCTTAATCATAGCTAGAAACATTTTTTGATTTCGATAATACAAGTCATTTATCCGTTTTTCTTTGTCAGACGTGCGATGTTTAAATGAAGAATTATTTTATCATCTCTAATGCTCTCTTTTAAATTATAACAGATTATGAACGAGAATCTGTGTTTTCTGTTACAGACGAAGTGGATGTGATCGGTTATACGAGCAATCAATCGGACACCGATGATCACAGTAGCGTACAGAGTAGTAGCGACAGCGGTGTCGCGATGTCCACCTCCAGGCTGACTCTTTCTGAAATGATGGACAATCTTTAGGTATGTATACAAACTGATTAATTTCGAAACACAACACGTGTGGAATTTTACTCTAAAGGAAATAATATGAATTTAAAATGAATTATATTCGAATTAAAATACGATTTGCTTACGACTTTAATTATTAAAATACATCGGATCAAACAATTAATTATCGAGTCGCGTCCTATAATAATGAAAAAAACACGCTAAGCACGGGAAATCCATTAAGAGTATAAGACGTCATCAAAGGAACAGAAATCGACAGATAAGAATAGAAAGTGGAAGAGTAGATGTTTGACAAATAAATTCTCACATTGGTTCCTCTGCGCTGTTTGCAGACAAAGAGGCGGCGAGATGGCGGCGAAAGAAGAAGCGGTTGAAAAAGAGAAAAGGATAAGGGAGGTAAAGATAGAACGAAAGGAAGAACATCCATTGGGGCGTACGAAAATTGACGGCGCGAGAGATATCGATTCATACACACATAACATATACACACAAAATGCACATTTAAATTCATATTTGTGTCCTTCCAAAATGGCCTGGCTGGCAAAGCAACACTAAAGAAGAAGAAGACTTTCAAGCGTTGCACGACTTTACGAAGACTTTCAGAGAACAGAGAAGATTTCAAAAATCAGAAATCACTGAAGAGTAGGAGATGTAAAAATTCGGAAGACATTAATCCTAATACAATAAAAAAAGAAGAAAATAAAGAAGATGAAGTCGTCTTTGATATCATCTTATTGTTAGTACTAGCCTACAACATAAAGAATAAGTACTTTTTGAGATTTTGGAGTCGTTAAAAATTTATAAAAGGAGGAAAAATTGATTCGAAGATTATATATTAAAGAATATTATAGATACTTACAAAAGAATCCGAAAGAAAGAAGAGACGTGAAAGAGAAAAATTATTTTGATGACAAGAAAAAACAGGCCATCTTACAAAAACATTTGTCATATAAAAATATAAGAAAAGTAGAGAGCAGTTTGAGCGAAAGAAAAAGAAAGAATATTGAAAAGGAAAGAATTTATGTAAAAATCTCATTGCAAATTATGTTTGGCATCTTAAAAAGAAGGCAATATCCAGAAACATCCAATGACTAAGAAAATCAAAGAAGAAAGTTTTGGATCAAGAAGAAAATCAATAAAGAAGATACTTTCTGAAAGTTATGAACGCAGACTGGAAAATTGCAGCACATTTTCCAAAATGACAGTAAAACATTATGTTATGCATTGAAAGAAAAATAAAGAAAAAAACTAGAAGAAAAGACAGAAGAAAAAAAGAAATAAAAACAGAAAATTAATTAGAAAGAATAAGAAATGAGAGAAAAAGGCTAAAAATAAATACGAAGAAACTAAAAAGATTTTGCCAAGAAGAAAGCCAGCAACTTTTCGAGATGGTTAACTTGGATAAAAGAAGGGACGGCAATATATGAAACAAGAAAACAAGACGAAAAGGTAACGAGCGCGACTTTGAAGAATGCAAAAAATAAAGGGGACAGTTGTAAATTATCAAGAGTTGACAGAGAATCGCAGCAACATTGTACATATTTTTAAGAACAAACAAATTTATCGAGAGCGTAATATGCGAGAGAGAGAGGGAGAGAAAGAGAGAGAGAGAGAGAGAGAGAGAGAGAGAGAGAATGGATGAAAAAAGAGAGAGAGAAAGTAAGAAATTAAATGAGAAGTGGAAATGTTTAACAGAAGCAGTAGGGAAGTTCTTTGTTTTGTTGCAGGCTTAATCCAGATTCTCGCAGAAACGAGTAAAATAAGGCGTTGATTGATCATTTCGAGATTCGATCGTTGAAACGTGCATTTTCTCGATTTACTTTTCACAATATTTGACAAAATAAAAAATTTATTCTTAGAAATATATTATGAAGAATTTAATTATATATATAATTAATTAATTATTTAATTAATTAATTATTTTTGTTTTAAACTATGGAGATTGATTCACAAATAATTCTTAATTTTTCAATTAATATCGTAATAAATTTTTAATTTGATTCTAAAAATGTATAAAGAGAGAGAGGGGGAGAGAGAGAGAGAGAGAGAGAGGAAGAGAATAAAAATAGATAAATATATAGAAATATATAAAATAAAAACGAAATTAATATATAGAAATTAATTTATAGAAATTTACACAATTATGTCAAAAACCAACTATATAGTTAAAACTATAATTTTATAAAGTAAATTTCTAAAAAAACAAATTTATAGTTTTATCATAATTAATTTAGAAATTTATTTTATAGAAATTTATTACGAAATTAGTCGAAAAATTTGGAAGTATTTACGAAGCAATCTGTTAACTCAAAATGACAAAATTATTTATTATAATAATTTGTAATATATATTGGATAGATTATATAAAATTATTCTACAAAAAAATTTATTCGTAAAATTGTATATTTAATTTTAAATTCAGATTATATATATGCAGTATTTGGAATTAATTATAATATGTTAATGTCATAAAATACGAAATTATTTTTATAGTATAAAACTGTATAAAAATTAGAATTATTTAAAAAATTATATAAATTATTCGGTAAAACATAAAGTCATTTTCCAAACTAAATTGCGAATTTCTTCCATTCAATGATATTTAAATAAACATACAAATAGTTCATTAAGTAAACTTATTAAAGAAACAATCCCTGCGCCGTCGCCATGTTTGTAAGAGGAAGTAAATAAAAATTTGCATAAAACTTGACATCGCGTAATATAGAAAAATGTGAGGAAAAAAAAACGTATTCAGAGAATGAACAGAAAAGAATAAGATATAGAAAGACAAATGGCTGATTTCTCAATGAATAATGAATTGCGATTAATTAATAAACTACAATACAAACACAAGTGAACGGATACACACACACAAACATGTACACGTATATGTTAAGTCATTATTCTGTAATTAAGTGAGCAAAGCAAAGTATAAAAAGCAAAAAAAGTAAACTGATAACTATAATACGGCGTAAGTGATGTTTCATTATATATATATACACATAGATATAGAGTGTCCCTTATTTATAGATATAAAAATAAATGGAAAAAGTGCTGAGTGATTTTTGCTCTCGGCAGAATTTATAACGCATTTTGTTAATCTACTTGTTCTAAAAAGAAACAAGGATTAAAAAACAAAATAAGAAAGTTATGAACAAAAGAAATGAAAAAATAACTAAAAAAAATATAAAATAAAGTAAAAATTGAAGAGATAAGTATTATCAAAGATAATAATTCTATAGAAGAAAAAATCTTAAAATTTAGGGGACTTGTTATTATAAAAGAAACAATATATATGCTGCTGTGTGAATGCAATTGAAATAATAAGGGACACTCTAATACACATTCAAAGAGTACAAATTCCGCAAATCCCTCGTGGGGTGTTCTCGGGGCTGTTACCACCTTTTTATGTGATGCGTTTCTTTTTCACGAGAATGATCTTTGACTATTCCTAGATCATTCGTGAATGATTTATGAAGCAAACTAAAAGATAGTGGATCGAAAGTGATACAATGTCGCTGAGTTCATATTTCGATGGTATGAGCGCACGAAAAACTTATTGTGACGTAGAATGACATAGCAATTGACATTTTTTCTAATTTAATAAAGATAATATCTTTGAATAATTTTTCTCTTATTTTTTTTTTATATCAAGAAAAATATAAGAATTATTGTTGCCTAAGAAGGAAATTAGAGAATATTGTATCATTTTGACTGAAATATGGCATAGGCATGACAGACTATGGCACGAAACATTGAAAGAACTCAACGAAATTATAACGATTTCGATGTCTAATCTAAAAGAATATTGAAAGTCGGAATTCTCGGCTTAAAGGACAAAGACTCGTGCGACAAGATTCTTTTGTAAGATCGACTTTGGATGATACGCGTTAATGGATAGACTGACTACCAAATGTAATGGATGATCTCTGAAGACCGACGTTAAATTATAGGCAAACTTTTTCATGAGCATATTTTGGAAAATATTCCCTCGTAGAACATATGCCGTCGGTTAACCCTTTAACTTTCCTTCATATGTGAGATATATAAATTGGCCGGAGAATCTATCATTAAGTGCAAGGACAAATTATAGTGGAATAGCATGTATAATGTGTATCTCTCTTTTTATCACAATATTTGTTAATAGATTTCTTTAGCAAATTCACGAGAAACTTAATTATCTTAATCTTTAAATATTGTATTTTCATATTTAAAATGATTGAAATTGGCGAAATATAGCAAACAAAATTTTTGCTACTCGTAAAAAAGGACAAACATTTACAAATAACAGACTCTATCAATATGACGCGGTTCATTTGAGATACTTGGTTTTGTGAAAAAAGAGTCTATGATAAATTAATACTATGAGACTCCCTGCACAAACGCATATTTTATTTTGAAAATATCTTATTTCGATATTATTTTTGTTTTTATTTCATTTTTTATTTTATTATTTATATATATGTACTTATATAT